TCACTTTGAAGGGAATATACACATTACAAAGGAATTTTCTTTTAGCTTAGTGAAAGTGGTGAATGGAAGTCAGCAGAGCTTCACCTCATTCACTAAACTGAGCCAAAATTCCCTTGAAAAATGAAAATTCCTAGCGAATTTTTAGCGAATGCCGTGCATGTAACCAGGCCCGGATTCCGCACAAGGCCACCGAGGCCAGGCCTCGGGGCGGCAGTGTGAAGAGGGGCGACAGTGGTGTGGAATCCCTCGACGCCCGGAACATAAAGTTCCGGGCGATAAGTTGCCTTCCACATTTAGTCCTGCTTTGGGAAGGCAGGACTAAATGTAGTGTGGGGAAGCTGCTTGTTCGTTTACATGTGATTGCGGCGATGTCGCCACAATCACGTGTAAAATGTGTGCAGCCTGTCCGTCCTCCCCTCGCCCCCCCCCCCTCCCCCCCTCATTCTCAAGGGGCTTGTTAGCTAGCTCCTGTGTGATAGCAATAAAATTAATAAGATTAAAAAATTATAAGAAATAAAAAAGTAAACTATAAGCTAAAAATATAAACAAGTTAAAAAATAAATAAAAATAAAAAAGTGATAAAAAAGTTAAAAAAATAAAGAAACAATAAAAATAAAATAAAACTAACCCTGCCGCCCCTGCCATCAGGTTGCCATTCTCCGTTGATGGGGGGCGAGGGGAGGGGAGGTTGGCGGGAGGGGGGTGAATTGCGGAACCTGATATTGGGGCGGCAGGACGAGTAAATCTGGCCCTGCATGTAACCCCATTGAAGTCATGGGGCAGCATGGCAATTGTTATGTGCACTGAAACACGATTGCATGGTCCCGGGACTCACTTTTCAGCATCGCTCAGGTCCGAACCTAGCCGAAGGCTGCATACATTTTATCTTTTCAGGCTTCTTTTAACTTTATCTTCACCTTGTGATCCTGCCACAAACACACTTACTGTGTTTGTGGCAGGATCACTGTGAAACTGTGAAAACTGTGTTGCCACCCTAGGGCAGGACTACAAACACCTCCCCTTCTCATCTTATTCATACATTTTCAAATGTATATTTAACAGACAAAAATGGAGCAAATAAGAGAGTTTGTTGTTAGGGTTTACATACCTTTTTACCCTTTAATGATCAGAGGTAATTGATGCGTAGATGCCCAGATCAAGTGTAGCAGAGTCAGTATGTCTCAGTTAAACTGACAGTAACTCTATCTCTAATTTTCCTGTCTGTACATGTTTTACCAGGTTAAAAAAGAATTCCAGGCAAACAGAAACTGTATCCTTTCAGTGGGGATACCCCCGCGCTGCAAGGGTTAAGTGCTTATTTTGTCTAGGGGGCTCAAATAAAGCTGTATTACTCACCTGATCCTCAGCCCCACCAGCTCCCTCCAGCCCCTGCAGCCCTCTAAGGCCAGTTGATGGCATCACGTTTTATGCAGGTCTATTGACTTGCATTAGAAATGAGGACACGAGGCACATTCCATAGCCACAACGGAGAATGAGAGGGGAGCACTGACCAACACAGAAGGGAGGATCAGGTTAGTAAAACTGCTTTATTTTAGTCATCTAGACAAAATGAGCACTTACCCCTTGCAGTGCAGGGGCAGCCCCACTGCAAGGACAGTCCCACTGCAGCACTGCAAAAACATTTATGCTACTGTAACGCACCCCCTTAAGGAGCCACAGAGAAAAGGTGGGTCATCCATTATAGCCATGCCTAGGGGATCCAGGTTCTGACTGTACATTAGCACTTACCACCCTCCATGGTGACCGATAAAAGCGAGGTCCAGACTGTAGATATGTTGCTGAGGAACTTTTTTGATGAACTTTAGGGAAAGAGGTTGAGGGTCAGGATCATCCTGGGTGATGTAAACTCCTTTAAGTGATAGGATAGAGTAACTTCTACCATCACAGACTAGGACCTTTAAGCCAGACATGGCAATCTGAGTGTAGAGCACCTTGCAAAGCAGCACCTGAATCAGAAATCATTAGTCCTCTTCATCCTTGGTAACAGTAGTAGCCACTGGGCCCCCAGACTCAGGCTTCAGTTTAAGCACATGGCTAGTCCCCGGTCTTCAGGCCAAGTCATATCAGGACAGTCCGTAGCAGCCTTCCCCCAGGCAGGGCCCGGGGGAGAAAGAGAGAGCTCACATGGTGCAAATATTAATCTATTTTCCCAGCATGCACCACTGGCCATCAACCTCCTAGAGGGTTATTCACTAAGCTACCGAAGGCAGCCGAGTGAATAACCGAGCCAAAGTGAAGTGAGCCGAACGCAGTTCACCTATTCACTTCAGCCATGTACGGCTGTGGGGGTTGTGGGGGTCTGCAGGCAGGGGAGGCTTATTGGCATTGGGGTACCCCATTAATAAAGGGGCATCCAGATTAACCCCCTATGTGAATGAGTAAGGGGTACTTGTACCCCTACCCATTCACTAATGGGTTAAATAAAAAATATAAATAAAGAGACAAGACGTTTGAAAAATCCTTTAATTGGAAAAAAAATCCCAAAACGACAGAATTCAGGGGTCAATCAGGATGTTCAACATTGTCCACAACAACAACGATTTGTCAAAACAGTAAAGATAATAAAACGACACCCACTGATCCGACAGGCACGTGACGAACTCCCACTGGAGAATGAATAATCTGACAGATGCCGGCAAAATATAAACAATTGGGGGCGGAGCTCCGCCTAACTGTTTACATTTGTCCAACACCTGCCAGAGTCTCCGCGCAGGTCCCAGCCAAATTAAAACAAATGGTTGGAGCTCCACCCAGTTGTTGTCATTTAATGACAGCGCAGAGTCCTCAAATGACCTGAGGATGCTGGTCTGTCATTGAATGACAACAAGTGGGCAGAGCCAGCTGTGACATATCGGCTGGCTCCACCCAGTTGTTATCATTTGCGGGGATAACGGTCTGCTTCGGCAGAGCGTTCTCCCCACTTCGGCTGTGACTATGGCTCAGCCGAGCCAGAGCATATGCGCTCGGCTCGGCTCGGCTGAGACGTTCGCCTGCCTTGGGCTGCTGAACAGACTATTGTGAATAGCTCATACAGCAGCCCTTCAGATGACGGAACCAAAAGGCACAGGTGGCTGAAGTGAACAAAAGGGTCAGCCGGAGCGCTGGCTAGATCCTTTGGATCATTTGTGAATAACCCTCTTAGTGATTGGCTAGAGAGACATACATACTCATAACATTTTGTTGCTCTGCTCTGTGGCCAGGGTACACCCAGCAGTAGACAGATGCAAATGATGACAGATTACTTAGGGGAAACCAAATGAGCATAAACTATAGATCAGCATCAGACTGAATACAATCTTACAATACTAACTTTACTAAGCACTCTTGCTTACAGGGTACCACACTGCCCTTTCCTGGGACATTCAGACTAAATGTTAAATTTGTTTGTTGACTGGTTGGAAGGGTTTAAGTGCTCATGTTGTCTACCAAGTAAACAAAAAAAAACTATTTCAAGAGTCTATACTGCATGACTGACCAATTTTAATACAGGTGCAGGGGTGGACAGACAACACATGGGGCCCCCGAGCAATATGAGATTATGGGGCCCATTGTGCTCTGCCTATATACAAGCTCCACCCACATACACCACTCGCATATGCATTCATGTGTTGCAGAAATTATTTCTCAACACTAATTTCAAAAAAGGAGGTCTATTCACTGAAAGGTGAATTGCAGAGGAATTAGTTGGAGAATTTAAAATCTACACCAATATAGACAATTTGGAAAGTGATGGCAGAATTTTTCTGGTTTGGCTTTACTGTTTAGTAGTAAAAAAGGTGGAGGCTGCATTAAGCTGTCCAAAGGCATCGCCAGCCAGGCCCCCTGGTATTCCCATATAGGGCCCCGGTCTGCCATGGCCATGCACATTAGTGACAGGTAGCGGATGCTAAATTACTGCCGTGACCACAGCTCCTTCACTGACAGGTATCCCTGCTTGTACCTCCAGCCCTCAGTGAGCTGCCTGGCTATGATATAACACTGGAGGACCGAATTTGAATCCGTTTGAAAAAATAAGCATTTTCTTTTAAGCAAAAGTTAAGTAATCATTTTGTCTGCCAAGTAAAAAAAAGGAACTATTTCAACAATCTTTAGTGCATCAATTACCAATTATAATACAGGTTCATGGGCGGACCGACAACACATGGGACCCCCTTGTGATCCGCCTATATACAAGCCCCACCCACAAACCTCACCCTTCCACAAGTCCCACCCGCATATACAATACGTTCATGTGTTGCAGAAATTGTTTCTCTTCACTAATTTTAAAATAGCACTAAAAGTTCAATTGTAGGGGAATTAGTAGGAAAATGTTAAATCTACACCAAATTAGATGATTTGAAAAGTGATAGCAGAATTCTTCTGGATTAGTTTTACTGTTCATGAGTAAAGAACGCAGAGCTCAGTAGTATAGAATGCACAGCTTAACCCAATGGTTAGGTGGGTGAGCATACACCTCCTATACAACCTAAAGGTTGAGTGGATGAACATACACTTCCTATAAAACCTAATGGTTGAGTGGATGAACATAAGCTTCCTATAAAACCTAATAGTTGAGTGGATGAACGTACTATTGCTATAAAACCTAATGAATGAGTGGATAAATCTATACTTTGATGCTATCGTCTATTTTTACTTTGTCCTACTGCACGCTTCCCTCTGCAGTTTCTAATGCATGCCTCCCCATCAATGTGTCTGTGCCTTGTAGCACTTTCTGCTTGCATTCTCTTAGTGTGTTGCCTTGGATAATATAATATGAATGCTTCCTAGCAGCAGCCTACCAGAGCACAACACACAGTCTGACACATTAGGTTGGTACTGAAGATTTTTGTTTAATTGTTTTCTGTCTTTTCTTTTAAATCTCCTCTCGCTGCACATTAATTCACTAGTGTCATCCCTCTTTGTTGATCAATGCTGTTTACTTTAATTTGCTATTCACTCTTCTCTCTGTGTGTGGCTGTTGTCTCCGCTCTCTCTTTCCCAGTGTCTCTACTCCCTGTCTGCCCTCTTTCTCTCTCTCTCTTTTATTACGCTGCCTTGTCTCACTCCCTCCTTCTCCATTTCAGTACAGTAGCATTCTTTTCATAAACAAGCACAGAGACCTCTCTGTGCATTGCTGTGCCTCTGTTTCCTCTTCCCCTTTAATCAATAGCCACACCAGGAGAGTTGCTCACATGAATGAATCCTTGTGAATCTCACCCCCAGACATCTTTCACTGGATGTGCGGAGCTGAGCTGGAAATCTTGCTCAACTACCCTTGCTAATCCTGGTATCTTCAGAGTCTGGGGCTTTATCATGCTGGCCCGTGGAATATGCGAGTCTCTTGGTCTCAATGTCCACCCTGTAATCTTGATCTCCCTCATCCTCCTTTTGGGAGCCCAGGCTGAAGGTAAGAAGATGCTCAGCATCACTGGTTGTGATTACTCTCATACACTCATCTCAGTTACCTATTGCTTTTATTGTTAACTGTTTTAATTTTAGTGCTTTAAGCATCGCCTTGCAATGTTTCTGATTTCTTTTAAGAGAAATTAAGCAGCGGGGAATGACTATATTTTCTAGGCTTAATCGATCAGGATCTTGGCGCTGCAACACTCATGATAGGGAGAATATTTCTTAAGAAAGTAGTATATAAAGGAATAAAAGGCACATGTGCTCACAGCTTCCTATAAGTACAAAAGGGGTCCACTGTTCCATCAGGGTGAAACCTTATTATGTGCATATTACAAGTTAACATATGTATGTTCCCAAATTGATGATAGGCAATTTAACAGTTCGTTAGCTTGACAAGTATAGGTTTATTTTTAGGCATAGGTTTCTGATATACATCCCTTTCAAATAGGGAAGCAGGATAAGTATTTGTTAAAAACTTTCTCACTCTGTGAGTTTTATTCATTAAAATACCAGGGCAGTGTGAATGTCCAAATATGATCCCAGAGAACCTGGTACTCTTTTGAAGCCAAATATTCTCTGAGTGGCTCAGCGAAAGTTAATCTTTTGGCAAGATCAGCTATGTATCTATAGAGGCAGGAGAGCAAGATTTTCAGTTTTTTGATCTTCGCTTCTCATTTATTTTGCTGTTATTAAAAGTGGATATGAAGCCTTTTAAGATGTCAATCTTTTTTTCTTTATTCCCTTAACTGTATGTCATATAGCTTCTACAGTGGTCATTTTTTTTCTTCACCGCTAATAGAATCAGTTGAGCTAATCATCTGATATGTATCATCTCTTCTGCTTTGTGATGTCTATGTATCCTTGTGCTGTGAAATGTTTTATCAAAACATATGGCCTTTATCTTAGTAAAAAAATAAAAGTCTCACATGAGTGTAGTAGTTATTGGCTGTCACGTTACAGATGTGTATTGCGGGCTCTTATGCATGGAAGTCCTGATGGATCATTTTCCCTTTCTTAACTGAAAATACAAAATGCTGATATTTTCTAGAGGACTGCATATGTGATGATCATTTATACTATGTAGAGGGGTTCAAGAAAACCAGGGATGGAAAATTAATGTGGCAAATCAGAGACTGTCATTGTCTATGCATTACGGTTCCCAATTAGTGGGATTCAACATTACAGAGAGTGTATCAGTGAGAGTGGATCAGTACTGTTAAAGTAACTGCTGTGATGTGATGTATTTGCGACATTTAAGTGGCCAACTGAGACCTTTAATAATACTGGCTTCACATAATAATTTTCCTCGATCTACAAGTAGACAAGGGAACGTAGTTCCCAATAGTTGCAGCTCTGCACTGCTTGTCAAAGTCAGACTCAGATGTAGCAGTTTCAACCCTTGAAGAACTAAACAGTACCACAGTCAAAGAACAATAAATTGTGTTTTCTGTCAGAATGTTTAACAGAGTATAGCAAATAAACTTTTATTTGCACTGACAACTGGCTTCCATAGCATACCAATAATGATTTCAATTATTCATTAAGAGATGACCGAGGTCAAGGAATCCTACAGACTTCAAATCTCTATTGATTTTTTTGCAAAAGGTTAGCCTGAATCCAGAAAGGAATTATTGGTGTTATTAATAAAGTATAAATATTTGCTATCAATTACCCTGCATGTAGATTTACATTGTTAGCATTCTAGAACCTTTTGTTTATAGAGTCTAATTTTTATTATTTTTATTTAAAAATATGTTTAAATGAAATTTATCATTTTAATAAGTGTTTGGTTTTATTTTGGTTTTACTCTGCCTTATATATATATATATGTGTGTAAAATGCATCCACTATAGACCTGTAAGCCATGAAAAAAAAGAATGTTCAAGTGCTACTGTCAGGACAGAACAATACACATATATAAAAAGCTGTACTAATATGAAACACAGGTCAGTACCTTTTGCAGTAACTCATAACAACTTATCAGTTATACATTTCTTGCAGTTTCTGTAGCCCGAGCTATAAGCTATTATTTATGTTTGGAAACTGTGGATCAGGGCTAATCAGTGTTCAATATACTAACGGTTTCAAATATCAATTTGCTATTGCAAAGATTCCCTGCCACCCAGTATATGGTGCTTGGTTCACATTATAACCCAATCGAATGAATGTTGTGTGAAATATTTTGGGAACTCCACTTGAACACTTTGTACTATTTTTAAATAGATTATTAAACATTTATTTTTCAGTTATGTAGCACAGATCTGTTTCGCTGCAAACATGAAGGAAAAGGGTGATGAATGCAGAATTGGCACTTTTTAATGCATACTAAGCTGTGTTCTTTGGAGAAATAGGGAAAAGTTTGTTTGTAAACATTAAATTATCTGGTCAATATAAGTGACCTTGAGACATAAGAAAACCCTGCTCTACATTATTTGTTGCCCTTTACTGTGTGTTAGACACTGGACTAACGCTACCAGTGGTATTGTATAAAATGTTAACATAAGAGATGTAAGAGTTGATAGGATTGTATCTCTGTAATAGAGTTGGCTACTTCTCCAGAAAGGCAATGTCATGGTCATGGCTGCTGAAAATTGTTTGTAAGGTTGAACTGAGTGAAAAGCACACTAATACCTATGTCCCTGTTCCCAACACTACATGCCTGTCTTCTGGAGATCTTATCTTTGATTATGGAATAGAATTGCCACATCATATGTCAATGTATATTATCTGCATCTTTCTTGGGAATTGCTTGCCACTTAATGGAATTCTGAATGAAGCGTTAGATCAGAGAGCAATACCTGTAGTGTTTCTGCTTTGCAAAAACTGCACGTATGATTTATGGGTTTTGGAAATAGCTTAAATTTTCTTCTTGATTTTGTACACCTGTCATATGTTTTGTCAATGAGGTGCCAGGATAGTCTGAAGCATTTTTTGGTGTAAGAAGTTTACTTAGGGGTTTATTCACTAAGCTGCCGTAAACAGTCAAGTGAATGACCGACCTAAAGCGAAGTGAGCCGAAAGCTGTTCGGCTATTCACTTCAGGCTGGTACGGCTGATTTCAGCCGTATATCGGCTGAAATCAGCCGTACATCGGGTGGCTTCAAATAGAAAACGATTGTGCGGAGCTAGCAGTGACAGCTAGCTTCGCCCAACTGTTTTCTATTGGCCGGTGGTTCTGCTGCCATCAAAAAAAAGAAAAAAAAAAACTCTCCCGAGCGCTCCGGGAGTGTTTTTCCGGGAGAAAAACACTGCTTTTTCTTTTTTTTTCTTTATTCTGACACGGAGTCGTGTCAGAATAGAAAAAAAAAATGTTGGCCATAGGAATGCATTGCTAGATTCCTATTGGCTATTTCAATTTACAATAGCCAATAGCAAACTAGCTATTGTGCCTGCCCTCTGCTGCTGTCAATCAGTAGTGGTGGACTTGATGGAGAACTCCGGCTCCGTGTCAGAATAAAGAAATAAAAAGAAAAAGCAGCGTATCTCTCCTTGGCGGCCGGGAGCGAGAGACTCCCGGAGCGCCCGGGAGAGTTAGGCTGTCTGGAGATCAGTGTCCCTGGTTAGCTGGTAACCAGGGGCGCTGATCTCTCTGCAAGTGGCCGGATCCAGCCGTAACATCACGGCTGGCTCCGCCCAGCTGTCAGAAACAGGCTGTCGGCCGGCCAGCTTCGGCTTTCAGCGTGGCTCATCCGAGCCGAGGCATATGCGTTTGGCTCGACTGAGCCGCACGGCCAAGTTCGGGGGCTGTACGGGCTATAGTGAATAGCCCGTGCAGCAGCCCTTCGGTTCTACTGAACCGAAGGGGTCCTGGGGCCGAAGCTAGCCGAAGGATCGGCCGAAGTTACGGCTAGATCCTTCGGCTGCTTTGTGAATAGACCCCTTAGTGATTGTTCTTTTGGTGAGATGGTTTACTGGATCATTTTCATTTCGCTGTTGTTTTGTACATATGGATTAAAATATCCATACATCAATTTCCAGCCAGCTTCGTATTAGTGATAAGTTTAGAACATTTCATTTAATCCACTCTGTTAGTGCTTTGTTATAGTGGGGGCGTACATTTGCTTTGCTGGATTGATTAGACCTTTGTTATAGTAGAGCAAGCTCCTACTTTCACGCTGTTCAGGAGATTTAGGGGTTGTCATTCCCTACCCCCTCTGGGTTAATACCAAATAAGGATGTATAGTGCTTCTTAGGGCAATAATATCCCAAGGACATGGAATCTTACCCCATCATCCCCTGTCAGTCAGTAATGTCAGGAACCCCATTCAGTACTGAGGGCAGGGTAGTACACGGTAAGTCTAAGCTTAGGAGTGTCAGTTAGAAGCACCTGGTTCTGGGACCCCAGTACTAACAACTAATTTTACAACATCTGACTTGAACCTTCTTCCCTTATCCACATTACAACATCTGACTGACCATCAGCAAGCGGTAGGGGCCACAACACTGTGTCAACATGGCGCATTTAGTCATGCATTAGCCTGCTCTTCACTCCTAATTGGCTATTGTGAAAGTAAAGCAGGGGCGGGCATATACCACATACTGTATGCAGTCTAGTAGGATGTCAAATGCTTTGAAATTAAACAGAAATGCAAGAAAATCAACACTGTACTGAAGAATGGTGCACACCGAGTGCCAAATCCCACTGATGATCACTGCTGGGACTGAAGAGGGAGGAACAGGAAGAACTCCTTGTTTTAGGAAGGTGCTGAAAATGTTGGGGGACAGACTGCTAAGGATACATTGGGATTTAGTCAAAGATCATCCTATTAGCTTGAAGATTGGTAGTATCATAGGTATATGCTGCCACCTGGGTGTATATACTACTGGCTGGTGGTTGAGTGTTTACTGTTTACTGTTGACATGTATTGCTGGATGGGAGGTGAATGTTACTAAATGGGGTTATGTATTGCTGGATATGGAGTAAATAAGGAGTGGAGGGGTATATATTGCACAGCATGGGGTTTATACTGCTGACTAGTGGGAGGGAAAGATATTGCT